GTATGGTGCAGAATATATTCAAATCAGTATCACATATGACTCTTCATGATTTAAAAAAAAAACTATAGCTAAAGAAACAGAGAATACCTGTGAAGATTTGCTTTAAGATCTTGAAATTTTTGGTTTTTAATTGTTTCTGGTGACCTAATTATGTTAGGGAAGTTCAGGTTGCTGTTTTAAAAAGGATCTTAGTGGTAACAGTTGATGCCTGGGCAATGGTGAACAGTTTATCTTTCTTGAGTAGGATGTCAGTTTTGCCACTGTTGCTCATGTTGGTGTTGGAATCTTTTTAGCCAAATTCAGCATCATTTACCTTGACTGCCCCACAGCTTTTCTAAGCCAGCCTGCTTGTGAGGAAAAGGAAATGCTTTCACTTTAGAGCCTTTTGGAATCTGGACAAAAGCTCACTTTCTGTTCTTTAGGCTTCCTATATATGGCTTTAGCCTCAAGATGAGGACCTGCTTGCTATGCACCCTCTACCATCCCCCATTTCCTGCCTGGCTTCATTAAATGCTGATTTGAAGTTGGCACACACTCTTCTGATACAAAAGTACTACTGTGTTCCAGGAACCATCAGAAAGTAGTGCATTATTGTCTTTTACATTCTCTTCATATATGTCTTCTCCCCATGCGTAAAAAGGATTTTCATTCCTTCTTCTTAAATATCTCTGTATGTTTAATAAAAAGAAACAGTGAGGCAAAGCCCTGGCAAGAAAACCTCAGCTCATTTGGGAGCAATCTGGCCCCAGGCTATATTCTTGTATGCTAGTATCTGCTAATTGCTAATATTAAGCAAAGTGGAGTACAGGACGTAATGACTTCACTAAATCATTTTCCTGTCTCTTGTGCTTGTGTTTGAGCACCATGTTCCTTAGGAGAGACTACCTTTTTTTCACCTGATCAATGATAACTCATCTGATGAAATGAATGAGTACCTACATAGAAGCCTGTATATTTTCCATTTTTGACATTACAGTTACTTTATTTTTTTTTCCTTCATGAAGCCACCATAAAATATGAGAAAATTAATTTAAACACTGTTTTCCTCCTTAACCTACAGCCAAAGTTCTTAGTTCTGTAGACACAATTACAAGTCATGGCAAAATGTTAGGTAACCAATCTTTTGATTGCCTGTGATATCTTCTGCTCTTATTTAAACTAATCCTTTCTGTCTTTGGTATCTATTTCCCACTTAGAATCATTTAAAGAGTAATACGAGTGCATAATTACCAGCACTAAAAAGAGAATAAGCCATGTAATAGCAATACAGCTGAACAAGCCATATTACTGCAGCATCTCATTATTACAAATTATGCTACATCTACATGAACAAAGTCATTTTCAGACTAGTCTTTCCTGAAATCCTCTGAAGTGGATCACTCAAATCAGCTGATTCCTGTTGAGAACAATGACATGGGCTTTGATGGCCTTCAGAGAAAATAGCTGTGTCTTTTTGTTTTCTTTGCAACAAAACTCTTTCAAATAATATATGTTCACTTTCTCCAAGTGGCAATTGATTATTACTTGTTCCAAAGTGCTAAATATAATAGAAGTGCAAAGATTTGTGGAGCAAAGAGGTTAGCTAAACAGAGACCAACTAAACTGATAGTAGCTGTATACTGTTTCTTACTAAGATTTTAGATTCACAGCCCAACCAACCAGACTTCTGCCATGAAAATTTGCCATCCTGTGTTCCTTGTCCTCATGGTGGCATTCCTGGCCGTGTGCTCTTGTTTTTCTTTTGTCTGTGGCATTTGGTCTCCAAGATTCAGTCCACTGTACTTGAAGTCATCAAACCCAGCGAAACCCACACCATTCCACACCTCCAGCATTTAGAGAGGCTTCTTTTCCTCAGGAGGGCGAGGTACAGGATGTCTTCTGTATGGGGTAGAATTTAGTTTTGAGTTCTGGACTCCAGTGGGATGGTTAGTGTATAGAAAGTTAGCCATGTGCATTAGTTTTCTTGCTGTGACTGTGTCTTGGTTTATGGTTGAATCACCATATAGATTCCATGATGATCTTTTCAATAATGTTCTGATATTACTGTAGAAAAAATGTTACTTCTTAGGGGCTTGTATTTGCTTAAGAAAGCTACTCTGCAGCAATTTGGGGAGTAAATCTTTAGCCTCAAAAGTTATTTGGCATTGACTCCCCATGTGACGGTTTTTCCCATGGAGAATGCCTTTGTGTGATGAACACAGTCAGCCATGGCAATGAACTAATTAAGCTGAGTAAAGGAGCAAATAATGTGCAGTAAAAATACTTACAGGGTGGCTAATGCAAAACAGTTATTTTGAACATTACCCCTCTGTAGAACCACTTCTAAAAGCCACTAGTTAAAGTATTGAGCCAAATACTCATTTGAAACATAAGGCAAATTAGTTATAATAATTCTGGGCCATTTGCTAAGACTTTCTGAGTGTCTTGCAGATACTAAGGAAACAGTCTAATTTAAAAAAAAAAAAAAAAAAAGGTTTGAAGAATTTATTTTCACTTTTTGCTAATACTCACATTTCAGAGTTTAAAGGACTAAAACTGGTTCTATATGATCTTACATATGTACTTTGAGGCAGAGTGTATGTGTGTGTATATATGTTTGTAATTGCAGTCCACAGCTCCGTATTTGAAGCTTAAAAATACTTAATTTTGCCTTTTTAACTGTCAGAAGAGAGCAGATAATTATAGATGTCTTATTACTGCCCTCATGTAGGAGTGCACTGAAGCACATAGGGGTGCTGTTGTGATCCATACCTCTTTGCAGTGAACAGTAATTCTGCCCCAGCCTTGGAGGACCAGGATTGTTCAGTGACCTCTACAGTCACACACCAAGCCAGTGCCTCAGCCACTGCTGGGAATCAAGAAACCATTGTTGGGTTCTGCATTTTTTTCATTGGACCAGACACCTTCAAATTGTTTAGATCTCTATGTTTCATTGACTGAAACCAGAATTCTTTTTGCTAGTCACTGAGTCCTAGTAAGTACCATGTTAGGATCTGGCAGTGTCTCCGGGAGAAAACTCAGGGAAGCCAGAATTTGAAGGAAACACTCTTCAAATATTGGCTTTGATTTGTATTGTGAGGTTTGTTTTATAATTTTAAAACCAATTTCTCTATGCCATTTCATATTCAAATTAATTATTTCCACTTTTATTGCTGTTTTTCATGCATCTTCTTGGATGGCTCATAATTTCATACATTGACTTAAAAGTTTATTTTCTGTGCTTATATGATGGAGTCAGATGCAGAAAATTATGGGAATTTGTTAGAAATAGAAAGGGAATTGCTGTGATTGAGCATGAAACATTTACATAGAAGTGGAGAATTTCTCCAGTGAGTGTTGCAGAGGATTTGTATCATGTTCATCTGTCATGGATGCACAAACAGAATATGTACAGACATGTTCTCCTAATTTTAAAGAGTACAGAATAGTAGAAATGGAAAAATATGTAAGTGCAAAAGGAGTGAGCACCTTTTCTTTTAAATGTCATCACACCTGGTAAGATCTGTGGTTATAGCATGTAGTGTAATCAGAGCCCACTATTATATTTTATATTTTCAGTTTCATTGCAAATGATATCTCAGATAGTAAACAAGTCTGTACTGTATTGTTAGAACCATTCATCTTAACAGTGGTAGCAGGTGATAAAAATAAATTTCTAGTTAATATGTTTATTATTAAAGATTTCCAGTGTTGTGCTAGCCTGTGTATCTTGGTCTGAAATGTATGTAAGGCACAGGGTCTTCTGAGGGCAGCCCTGGCCACGTGCAGTGTGGTACATGACAAAAGTCAGCGTGTGATAACAGGTACTGCTGGTCACAGCAACTCTGCAGTGAGGAGCAGCCCCTTTGCCCTCCAGTGACCATTTCTAGCCTCCCCTTCACTGAGGGAACAGGTGGGACAGAAGGAAAAATGATGTGCAATGTGACATGATGGACAGAGACTAGAATTCAAAATGTAGGATTGAGTTCCTGCCCCAAAGTGACAAACAGTGTATTTCTGAATTGAGTGAAGATACCATATATTTTGCTTTTCTGCTAACTCTTGCTCCTTCTTTGCATCTGGGTTTAAGTCTGTGCATAGGAAAGAGAGCTGATCCCAGTTTCTAGCTCTCTCTATTTTGAGATATTGCTTAGCCAATCCTCAGTTCCAGGAAGGGAAATACAAACAAATTCTACTCCACAATTATCTTTGACTAGCTCTTAGCAGTCTGTTTGATACAGGGTTTACTTGAAGAACAAATAAATGACTACATGAAATATTTTATCATGCTAAAAATACTACAAAATATAAAGCACAGCAGAGCTGACCTTCATGTGAAAAGACTGTGTCTATTAAGGAAACAAAGGTGGAACTTGCCCAAGGTGCATTATATATAATCCTAGGTTTTCTGGGAATCAACCCTACTTCTTCATTTTCAGAGCATATATTTTTCTCTGTAAGTGTTCTTAGGACACTGTCATAAATCTAGTTGTTTGGTGTGTTACTCAGAAAACATTAAAGTTCTGGACCTAAAATCACTGACCAAGAAATGTTCTGCCAGCAAGGCTTGTCGTAATTTATATTTCTCAGAGAAATCAAAAGGCACCAGTGGAGGCTAATCTCTGTTTCTGCAATTAGACCTTAATCCATTTAGTGTTCCAGGTTCCAAGACATGTTTTCCAAGTTTCCACCTACAAGAGAGATAAAAGTAATGTAAATTTAATTTGCATTCATTTATTATTAATACTTACGGTAGTAACAGTAATTAATGGGTAACTTCAAAGTTGCAAAGGAATGAAAAAAATACTGGGATCTGAAGTACTTCAGTTCTCTTCAACTCTTTCCTAGCTTCCAATCTAAAATGAAGTTGTATGAGGAGCAACAGGATGACTGAGAAGGTTGGGCAGTAAAATCTCTGCCTCCATGCCCTCCTTGGATCAGATGAGGTGCTACAGTGTCAGTGTCTGACACAAGCCAGGAATTGGATTTGTAGTCACATATTTTCTTCTCTCCATTTCCAGCTTCAGAGCCCAATTTGAAGGTACGTTCAAGATTAAAACAAAAGGTGACAGAAAGAAGAAGCAGTCCATTACTCAGGAGGAAGGATGGAAATGTCAGTTCATTCAAGAAGCGTCTTTTTGAGGTGACAGGTAATGAAGAATGGGGAAATTCTGTTGCCACAGCTCACAGAATAGTGGTGGTACTTCAGAATTGAAACTGTTTACTAAACAAAATGAGCATTTGCAGTATTTGGCCTCATCCTGACGATTCTTGCTTCGATTTTGCATTGATATTTAGTAGATTAGTGGCTTTTTCAAGTGATTGGGCCATACCTTTATGCAATCAATTGTTACTAGTCTATCCAACATATATCTGAATCCACTTGATATATCAGAATTATGTCACACCAAGATGGAATTAAAATACAGCTTGAACAAACACATTGATGTCCCTGTATGTGCAGTTCTTGTGACAACTTTACACAGGATGTCATGTGTGGAAGTGGAACAGAAATGTGAATGTAAGCATGAAAGTTACTAAGCAAAGTAGTGGTTTTATAATATATAAGTAGTCCTTATAAATTATTTCCAAATTATAATTTTTCTACAGCTAACTTGTAAATTCTGTTTGCTGAAGCCTCTATGAGACTTTAATATCCACTTCCTTAGTTTTAGCTGATTTCTTTTCAGTTTGCATACTTACAAGAAGTTTATAACGTGAAATTTTTATCACTGGAGGTTTTTTCCTGATTCATTGAAACATGAAAATAGCTGTCTTCTTTTCCTGGCTCTGACAATAACTTGGAGCCTTTCAGATTGCTGTTATAATTATTAGTATTGACTATATGACAGTTTAGGCCTTTCATAACCCTGGTTAAACATTGTTGCCTGAAGTCTTTTTCCCCTTGCTTTTTAGTCTCTGAATTGAAAATATCTCTTTATTTAAACACCTATTTGTACAAAAAGGTGCTATTTTAATTTTTAAGAAATTAGAAAAAAAATTATTAAGTTTGTGTGTCTCCACTTCTCTGGTACCTATTGAAGATACAATGCAAGAACTACATGGCCAGTTTGTATAGCTGGGTATGGAGTCACTTCAGTAAACCAAAGAGTAAGAGATCCAAGTAACAGCTCGGAAGACTCCTGTGATGTCAGTCAAAGTGAAAACATATTTTTGCATATGAACTAAAGCATAAAGAGTGGATAAGCAAAGAAATAGCTATAGAATATTAGGTGCTACATTTAGATATTAATTAATTTGAGTGCTTTAATTTGAAAGCTATTCCTTGAAAGAGGGTTACCTCCGTTAGTGGCTTTCTCTTCTTTCTTTAACCTTCTTAACTGTTTCCATTCCATAAATATAATTTGTATCAGTGTAGAATTAGAATAATTCAATACAGCAACATACAATGAGGTCATCCCCTCCCCCTTTCTTAGACAGAACTTGTGACATTTTAAATCAAGATAGCACGCAGCCTTTCAAATCCTATTTTAATGGCTTTACATACTGTAAATATTCCTTCATATTTGTGCCAAAGATGTAGTGAAGGTGTATATTTTGCCATTGGTACTTGTGTATATAATGATTTGTCCACAATGGACTCATCCCCTTCCTAGAAGGAGTGGCAGTAGGCCTCATCTCTTCCAGAGCCAGGGCTCTGTACAATTAAAAAGGAAAGAGTTTCTTTTCTTTACTCATTACAAACTCTGTGTCTGCCTGATACTGAGTATCATAACTATCTTTCTGAGAAAAATAAATACTAAATTCTTCTTATGTGACACAGACAGATCAGAAGGGGAAAGATCAAGAGTATCTTTCCTTGTTAGTTGTTGAAAGAAAACCAAAGAAGTGGAAGATGAATCAAGAGCTTTTAATGTAAGTAAATAGTGTAACCAACAGATATTTTTCAACAGCAAAAAAGCCCCATGTTATAAAGATTCTGTAAATAATCAAGATTATTAATTGCCTTCCAGAGTGAAATTCATGTATGTTTAATCTGTTTTTCAGAATCCTCAGTCAGTAGCAGCTCCCCTGGATCAGGTCCCAGTTCCCCAAGCAATGGTCCGACCAGCAGTACAACAGAAAATGAAACCTCCGTTTTGCCATCTAATATTCAAGCTGAGGTAAGACTCATTATTGTGTATATAATTGCTCAGGTTTCTAAACTGAATAGGATGGGAAATTTGATTTGATCATACTTACAAGCAGAATAATTGGGATACCAGGATGCTACAGGCTGACATCACAGTATGTTATATATGTGATATATCTTTATGTATGAGATACATGCTCAGAAGATTCTGTGATTACAAAATTTCAGGGAAAAACAGCAGTAGTGCTACTGGAAGAGTGGAGGGAGCTGTGGAAGGAACTTGGTTATAGAATATTTCCTTCTGGGGTGACCTGAAGGAGGCGGTCAGTGCTGAATGCTGATGAAGAATTCCTGCATACAAAACAGTGGTGTCAGCATTGGTGATCCTAACACATGAGAGCACCTAACACATAAGGTGGTCCCAGGTACAGATGTATGCTGAAGTAGATTTCTTTAATCATAGTATTGAAGTTAGGTGACTAAATCCTTGTCACATCTCCCTTTTATTTTACTGTATCTGTTTCCTTGTCAGGGCAGTGCTTAATGCCGTAAATGTCATGCCAGAATTCTTGAATACTTGTTTTGTAAAGTGAGATTGTAAACGGAAGGAATCTGAACTACTCCTTATTCTGTTTCATACATACGTGCCTATAACAGCAGGAATGCAGATGGTAAATCAGTTGTGATAAACCTCATTTAGCACAGATGACATGCCCAAGTCATGCTTTCCATGGCAATATTGTAAAGGGACAGTAAACTAATTCAACTAAGAGAGGCTCAAATTCAACAATATTGTAGTCGATACTTACTGCATTTCCTGCATTGGTGGCAAAGTTCCCTATTTATTGTTGTTTTATGCTTTTTATTTTAGAAAAATTGCATAAGAAAATGTGAATTAACAGAGTTTTAGTTAATGGAGCTATTTCTCCAGGTCAGTGGCAGGACATTCACCTAAAAAAAAAACCCTGGAATGGGCAGTTCAACCTCCAGCAGTGACTTTTCCCCATAATGAATTAATTGTGTGTGTGAACTATGATCCAGGGGGCAGGTGGGTGACCTCTGCACACTGATTAGTAGCCTCTCTCTGGCCCGTAACCAAAAAGAAAAAAAAATTGCATTGATGGCTAACATGTGGTCTTGTCTCATAGCCCCCCATATGTGATTGCAAAGAAATTTAAATGATGCAGAGTAAGATCCATCATTAGGATTAGATCAGATCCTAGTTCAGTGGAATTAAGTTGTGTATTTTACTACTGGGAATGTTTTAGATAGAAGTTGGTAATATGTAGGTGTTATTATGTGCTGTATTAAACAGGAAATCTTATCCAATTGGATCTTTTGACTTGAGGATTCTACAAAATGGAAGGGCATTTATGTCTCAGACTGATACATGGTGCTCATGGCTTTGCGTATTACAGTTTCTGGACACTTGTACCATCAGAAATACATACAGGCTGGTCAAGCTGGTGGTCTCTGGGGATATTTGGAAAGGCTGTAGCAAGAACCAGCAGTTATATTCTGTTTGCTAGTAGAACATTGCATTGCATATTTGCCACTTCTGTGTCAGACATCAAAAATGATAACCCCAACATACAATCAAAGATGCTCAAAGGAGCCTAAAACATCCCTTTGGAAGCTGAGCTCTGCATTGCTGGTGTTGGTCACTTCACTTGGTGAAATGTGCTAAGAGGCTGAAACTACAGACTTCCACTTCTGGATCCAGTTGGGGATTTCTTTACCTCTCTGGTTACTTGACTCTCAGTACTGTGTTCCTGTGGGTTCAAACATTTTTCCATAAATCTCAGCTTCCTTGAGTCTTATTTCAGTGGGATTTTCTTTGGTAGTTTAACAGCAGCCAAACTCCTACATATCTCTTTCCTAGTTTAGTATTAGCCAGCTCTCAAAGACTATACAACTAATCAGTTTTTAATCAGATTCACAAAGTACAGAAGTTACTAAAACAGGATGAGTGTTCCAAAATCACCCAAAATATCACTTGTTTTTCTGTAATTCTGTATGACTCACATTGCTGTTGTTTCATAATCGTTGTTGTGACATTTGCAGTGTTATGCTCATATCTGAGTGGGTGGATAGCCGTGGTTTTCATGGCAGCAAATAAAACACTTTTTGCTGGGGAAAAACAGGTTGCTATGACAGAGTAATTTACCAGTAAAACATGAGTCAGTACTGTAAATGATTACACTCCAGTGCATGGACAGAATTAGAGCATTATCAGTAATGAAACAGATTTTTAAAGTATTTTTACCACATCCATTGGAATAGTGAGATTTTGAGTGGTTTACTCTCTGGAGCAGACAGTCTGGTGGGTAGACGTTTGCAATTTTTTGAATGAACAAAGGTGAACTGCACATGCTGCAGCTTTCCAGATAATCTTTTACTATCACAGTTCCCTTAATGGTACTTTCCACTACCATTTGTTAAAACACTGGTCTCATTATATGAAACTTGAAAGTTGAACTCAGGATTTTAATTGCACCTTATAAATAAAATCCTGTTTTTATTAGGCGCAGTTGTCTCCAGTATCATCAAGGTTCACCGCAGTAGCTATTTGTCTCCTGTAGTATGCCGTACACTTTCAGGTCACCTGCTGTGCTGGGGCTAAATCTTACTTGCCTGAGAAATGCAAGCAGGATTGAGCCCCTGCACAGCATGTCCCTTGAGTTCAGAGGGACAACCTGCTTTAGTCATGTGAAATGATTAATTTTAGGCATTCACGGTCTGGTCAAAAGCCATTGAAGGCAATGGAAAGTTTCCAGTTGGTGCAACTGGGCTTCAGATCAATTTCTTTCTTCTATTTGTGCTTTGGAAAACAGTATTTCCTAGAATATCACTTGATTATACAGGAGATATAAATCACATACGTGACAGAAAAACACATATTTGTTTCGTACAACTCCACAGCCCCAGGCTTTTAATACTAAGCTCCTTGAGGTGATTTTTGTAAGGAGCCAGTGGAAAAAAGTGCAGGTTTCTGACCAGCTCATGAGGTTTGTGTCAAGTGCATGTAAAGAGAGTCTAAATTAATTTTTTCAAGAACCATCCCAAAAGCCTCAGGAAATACAAGTGTAAGTAATTGTGAATATTGTAAGTTGTGGCAATTAGCTCCACAACTGACAAGCATTAAAGCCAAACCATTTTGTCTTCCCCTTGTAATCTATAAATGTGCATATAAACATGCACACGTAGGTGTTCCTGCTCTCAGCAGGTCCCACAGCACAGCCCAAGCAGGGTTGTTGATGGTTACTTGTTGATCATCGTGCACTGTTACACTGAGTTCTTGTACTCTATTTTAAGAAAGAGGATAACTCTGTTGATGGGCTATTTTAAGCATAAGTAAGCAGGATCTGTGGACCCAATGAGTAGGTACATAGAGGAGCAAGTAGGGCAAGTTACTCTTTGGGGAAATTTAAGTGCCAATCCAAACCACCATGTCTTCATGTAGGGCACAGACATGGATTAGTCATTGTGCTGCCAAATTACTCTCTTGGCAACTCCTGCATGTGCCACCATTGCAAGGAATTGTTGACCATGTAGAAAGAAAAGCTCTGATCACAAATTTCTGCCTCTGGGGGACCCTGCTTGAGCAGGGTGCTTGGATTAGATAACATCCAGTGGTCCCTTTGAACCTTACCCATTCAGGGATTCTGTGATACACAGAGGACCCTAATCTATGCAGGTGGACTACTGCATTTATTTTGGAAGATGAGGTTAAACTGATGCTTAGGATATTACCTGAAAATATTTTTTAAAATCAATCACTTGCCAGAATGAAAATGACAGGTTATTAGTAGTATTAGAAATTAAATTAAGAGGCTTTTACTAATTAACTCCTGTTTTCAATATTAAATTCCTGTGGTAAATAACATCATTGCTTCTACCTGATGAAATAATCATGCCAGACCTTAGTGAGGTAGTGTGTTTTACTGCTATACACCCTGCCATTGTTATTTTTATTTATTCAGATCTTGGAAGGTAATAGTGGCATACCAAAACCCAAATATTAAACATAAATCTTTCAAGTGGCTTTGTATCAATGCTGCCATTGCTGCAAATTTGATTATATTCTAGGAGGCACATTAGAGTGTCCTTTTTTACTCAAATATTTGTAGATTCCCTCCATAATATCTCCATAGTCTTGACATACTTGCATTTATTCATGGTCAAAGGTGGATGTTATCAAGGCAAGACACTGTTAGCCAGGAATTAATGTAATATACAAGTGGAGCTTCTTTGTTTCCTACGCTATCTGTTGACATTCCCTTGGTACCAAAAGAAAATTAAAGGGATAGACTTCTACTGTTATTGTCTCAGTGATAGGTCGTATCTCCAAACAAACTGTATGAGGAAGGTTATGTTTTGGAATAACATCCTGTGTTTTTGTGCTTAACCACTTTTCATTGATGGTCTGAAGTTGCATTGTATTAACACAAAGTATTTTACAGAGTTAATTGATATTCCAGGTTTGTCCGGGGGAAAATCTACAGCTCCCCACAACATGCTTGACAAGTTATTATATTTACTTTAGTCAAAGCCCGAGTGTGCAGTATCCCTCTTGGAGGTGGTCTATTATTGGAGTCCCATATGCTTTTTGTTTGGGAAGAAAGCAGTCACTGTGTCATACTGTTACACAGGGTATTCTTTTTCAAGGATGTTGTTCCCTTGGGGACCATATCATGCCAGAGTTCCTAAGTCTAATAAGACCTTTGTAGCTCTTATTGTGTCAAAGTTCTGGGAGGGAAGCAAGAGTTAAACAGAAAATATAATTCAAGCAACTTTACTAGACCACATGTTGAAAAATATCACTGTTGAAGCAAAAAGGCAAAGGCTTCAAAAAAATTCCTGATGTGGTAATCTTTTTATGTTTCTTCTCAATTAATCTGTGGAAATAAAAAGGGTGATCTTTGTAGAATGTCTGGTTTCATTTTAAAGTAATTAAAAATATATCAGCAGTTCCATGTCTCTGAAAACTATATAACAATTCTTCAAAAGAAGTGTTAAAAATTTTAACTTGGATGGATTAGGAAAGCTGTGAGGAGTGTCCCATCATCAGAGAATGGCAGGATGCTGGTTCTGTATATATGCAGACAGAGAGACAGTCTGTTATTTTAAATGGCAGATGTGTCAATATGCCTTACTTTCTACATAAAATTTCCATGTAATGTAAATAATGTGCCTGAAACATCCCCATATGTCTGGCTAACAAAAGACATGGACTAGTTAAAAACCACATTTTTTTCCTTACAACAAAAGTCATAAAAACCATGGTAAAAGTTTGATACATCCATATTCGTGATTCAGCTGGATATAATCCTTAATTCACTGGATAAATTCCCACTGAGTTTCTTGGAGTGAAAGTCCAGTTGATGAGAAGACCTGATTTTGGGTTGGTGAGAAGTTGATAAGATGGTCTAGGAGTCCTCAGGATTTCAGATTTGCATTGAAATTTGATTTACTAACCAAGGAATAATCCCTGATACATATAATTTGTTTTCTTAAGAAAAGAACTTTTTTTACAGGGACAGTTTTCTGTTGGGATGCAAACCAATGACTGGTACATAATTGGCTTTCAGTGTATCGCGATACAAGCATAAAATAACCAAGATAAAAAGCTTGGAGATTTACTTTGGTTGGTTTTCCCCTTTATTGCAGCACCTGGTTTCTCAGCAACGCCTTTTGATACAGGATGAATCAGTGAACTTGTTGAGTCTGTACACATCCCCTTCTCTGCCCAACATTACCTTGGGACTTCCAGCAATACAACCTCAAATCAGTGTAAGTGACCAGTCTCAAGCCTTCCTGCATACACTTGCTTCCAGAAAATCTACTTTCTGATTATTCTCTTTATATTTTTAGCATTTTGGAACACAAGAAATTCAGAGTAGGAACCAGGAACCAGACCTCTCTGTGCACTGGGCAACATTTAAGGGCACAACTTGAAAGCAATATTCATTGATCTCAAATAAACAAGTACCAGTGTGGATCTTAGCTAAGTATGGGCCACATGCATTGCATTTATGCCAGATAACAGATTTCAGATGTGGCAAGAAGTATATGAAGAGATTTAGTATAAAAGTATGAGGAGATTATTTAGTATAAAAGTTTAAATTATATGGTAACTTCTACCTGAGAAATTACAGCACTTGTAACTTTTTACAAGATTCCAGTAATGACCTAAACTGGGCTGAAGCATTGTAGAAGAAGAATGTAGTATTCCTCTAGCACAGTTAAAAAAAAAAAAAAAAAAAAGTAAAAATATTGCTATATGGTGGTTCTATACAACATGGTGGAAACTGGTAACTTCTATGGTGAAATTTTAGGGGTTGTAACCACAGGTTTCAGTGGAGGTGAAAAAAATTAAATCTATGTGATCCACTATGGTTTGTAATAGTGCTCCTTAATTCCAGTGCTAAATGTAGTTTCAAGTCAAAGTTCCATGTTATTTTATGGCTTTTTCAATACTTTTACTGTTCTTAGCAGTAATATATTGCTGCAATCTAACATTTTAGCATCAGGTACAGAAATTCACAAAGAAAATGGTGTAAGCCTGTAATCAGTTCTCTAAAAGTCTTAGAAAATTATTGTTTTTAAAAGATGGAAAAATTGAACATCATGAAAAGTAGTGCTTACTTCTGAGAGGATATCAAAAATTTCTTAGCTATTTCACAAAAATATAACTAGCTTCAAAGTAAATTTATAACATTAAAAATAAATGAAAATATGGTTAATTTGCTCACTCAAATTCTTATAGGCTTTTGATGTGGCCAACTAGCACCAAATATTACTTTTGGCACTAGAAAAAACAAAGGGATTGATTTATGCAAGTAATGTTTATTTCTGTTACTAGAATAAGCAGTTGCAAATTGAATGTAAAGCTTACTTTGGTGCTTGTTTTTCAGGGGAGGGTGATAGCAGTGTGAAGTAAGCATACACCAAAAAAATATTGGTGAAAACCTTACTTTAGAATTTATGTAATTCATATTATAAGAGATACTGTTTTTACCATGACTTACCATAAGTGGTTATCTGCAAGCCTCAACATGCATATTTCTGCTAGGCTATTATTCTTGCTGTGAAAATTGTTATTCTGCTTGAACTGCCGTTTCAAGATTTTTTTTTTTTAAATAAGCAAAGAACAAAGCAATATAAAGTACATTTGCAATGATGAAGGGCCAAAACTTCCAAAAGCTTTAAATCAATAACTGTGTAATTTATAAGGCGCTTCAAAATGCCACACACATAAAACAGCTCTTGATGATTCTGTAGATGAGAGTTTAACTGTACAAGTTTGCTTTGCGGAGGGTAAAACTTACATTTGTGCTGTCCTTCAGGGAGTCAGGGAGTGCTCCAGGAAAAGTAATAGCTTCCCACTACTACAGGTAACTACTTTGTTTTGCTGATTGGCTTGCTGTGTGATGGAAAGTTATGTGAAAAACCAAGCCTTGCCTATTCCAAACTAAATGCAAACTATTTCCTCTGATCCTCTAGTTTCCTGTGCAGGAGGCTGTGCAAAGGTCTTTAGGAATTTTAAGGATAGGTCCCATCCTTTCATTAATAATGTTCTAACTAGTAATTCCTTATGCTTTGGCTTTTATTGCAGATTTTTTTTCAACTGGTTTCATTACTCAGTTTCTCACAGCATTACATTTAACCAGCATGTTCTTCTTTTTCATCTCACAGTCAAAGTATAAGATAGGGATGTTAACCTTTCCTTCTGTGTCTGTTCATGAAGACATAAGACCATCTAATCAAGCAGAGGTATAAATGGCCACTTCTCTGAAAAGCAGTTACCAATGCTGTTGTTCTTTGACAGGCTTCGTCGTCATTCAAAGAAAAGCAGAAGGGGGAGACCCCGTCACTGAGACAAGGAGTGGCCTTGGCTGGACAGTATGGAGGAAACATTCCTCCATCATCAACTCATCCTCACATTGCTTTGGAGGGAAAGCCAAACAGCAGCCACCAAGCTCTCTTGCAGCATCTGTTACTGAAAGAACAAATGAGACAGCAAAAACTTCTTGTGACTGGTAATGATCAAAGCTCCGGCAATAGTAATTTAAGATGTTTTTAATGACATTTGTATTTGGTTTAAACTAAATGCAGTAATACAAATACCATACATCCGAACTCTTGGGAAAAGTAGAAGGGTGGAAGAAAAAAGGACAGCATCTTTGTTTTCCCTTTTAGTGATTCTGTTCCAGTCTGTTAGCCTGAAAGAATTCAATGATTACAGAAAAAAGAATATGATTACTTCATCACATTCTTTTGCAGCAGCTGAACTTCCCAGCATGGCGAGGCACGTGATACACGTCCCACTGCATCAGTGCAGATGCAGAGTTCTGCAATGTACACCTCTCTTCTTACTGAAAGCTTTCTTTCCTGTTAAACTATTAGTTTGTTGTTTTCCACAGGGGAGTGAAATGTCCCTGTTTTGCAGGAGCGGTTCCTCTTCATCCACAGTCTCCTTTAGCAGCAAAGGAGAGAGTCTCACCTGGCATAAGAGCTGCCCACAAACTGCCTCGTCACAGGCCACTGAACAGAACCCAGTCAGCTCCTCTTCCTCAGAGTACTTTGGCCCAGCTGGTCATCCAGCAGCAACATCAGCAATTTTTGGAGAAGCAGAAACAGTACCAGCAGCAGATCCACATGAATAAGGTGAGTTCCCAGAGTAAAGAATTTCCAATAAATTTAAAGGTGGAAAACTAACAGTGAAATTTAGTTATTGGTGCCATGTCATCACGGACAATAGAGAGGTTCTTGCAGGAGTATCTTTTTTGTTTACGTATAGCAGATATACACATTTGTATGGATCTTAATTTTAAGGTTCTGAAATAGGCTACAGTTCAACAAAATAGAGCTCAAAGCAACTTACATTTTTACCTGACAGGGGTTTTCCTGTTGAATGGTAAATTGTGTCTTGAAAATTGACGTGTACTTCAGAGGTGCAGAAATTGCTCCACTTGCTGCTTCTGAATTGTATAAAAACTTTTATAATTGTGGACTAGAATGCTGCATGAATAGATAACTCATTTGAACTCAAATCACCTTATTAAATTTAGGTATTTATATAAGAAACTTACTAAACATCTGGAGAAATTTTTACTCAGTGTTTATCAAACTGACTTTTCTCTGTGGGTAACAAGAAAGTTTGTCACCTATATGGTGATATAAAATGATTGTACAAGGAGAAAGTGAAAACTGTCCTGTTGCTGGTATCTGACACAGAGTTGAATTGTGTAGTACAAGATTCCCTGTACAGTAACACCTTATTCTGAGCAGGGGCAGGGGAAAGAAGAAAAGGGACCATCCATTTATCTACAAAGAGCAATAGATTCTAAACAGATTTATCGGGAAACAACAGAAACAGATTGTTACCTGCTCTGAAATTAAGATAAGCAAGCAATTGCATGTTTTTACTTGGAGAACATTTTTCTGCACTTAGTACACAGCTTTCCACAAGTTGTTTGCTGAAGCTCCACTGGTATTACAAAGATACTAATTACGCCTCTTTAGTTGTCTTCTTTTGTTTTAGTGTTACTCAATAACTATATATAAGAGGCAATGTTAAAGAAAAAAAGATGAAAAGTGGATGTTCAGCTCTTTTACCTAAGGAATAAAAAAAAAAAAAAAAATCAGTCCACCTTACTTACTGGGTAAATTTCCCAGGGGTTACTGATTCTTTGGAATCTACTGAGAATTCCCAACAAAATTAGAAACAAACCTAGAGTTTAAGTACATAGTTTGTACAGTGGTTTGGTTATTAAATCTTGTCTTAATTAGGAAAAATGAAGACCAGAAAACTTCAAAGTTCAGAGCTGATCCTTGCATGTTAACCCCTCTCAGCTTGGGTGTTTTGATTACTCAACTAGGACTCCAGTTGGCTTTTCTTTGAGTATGCATTCCATATGTTTAATCAAGATGGCATATGTATATCTCGTAGCCTCAGGTTTTGAAAATATTTCACCTTCCCTCAATTGTCTAAAAAGACTTTTTAACTGCTACAGTACTGAGTCTTTGTTCTACAAACCCATCAGTTCATGCATTCCTCACAAAGCAAAGAACCCCACTGACATGTTTTTCTTAGATAATATGCTTATTGATATAAATTCTACCATAGCATTTGGGGCATGTGCTGTGGCATATATGAGCATTTTTCCCCAGTGTGAAAATTAAACTTGAGGCACATAACCATATATTTCTAGTCACGTAGGACGAGGAATGCATTACATCTTACCAGAGATAGATGGGGTAAGGAAGGAAAAAGATTGGAGTTGGTTTGTGGTTCGTGGCTTGTTTCAGTAACTTTTTTTTTTTCTGTTGAACTACAGTGAAAATACATGGTAATGAGAATAATTCCCTCTCGTACTTGAAATATGCTTTCATTCTCACACAGTTCTTTGTGATGAAGAGACAAAGCTAGTGAATCTAGCTCTTATTCTGTACAGTACAGGCAACACACATATGCAGAGAGTGGAAATTTAAGTCTGTCCTGGGGTCTTTCTCTGCCTTGAACATCCATAACCTACTTTTGCCCCAACAGCTTCTCAGTCTCCCTTACTCCTACTCCCAGAGCAACCAGGCTTCTTCAGGAGCACAGTAACTCAGAGCAGCAAATGCCTGAGGACGAATGAGATCATGTTGCAGCCAGAGAAGCAGTGGGTTTTCTGAGGATGTGTGTGGTTTATCAGACTTTACAAGTTGCAGCAGCTAGATTCTTTCCCATTCTTAGAGGAACCATTTTGGAGAATAGTGCTGAAAAATCTCAGTGTCTAACAATGTATCAGTCCTCTGGAAGGACACAGAAAGCCAGGGAGCTTCCTTATATACTTACAGAATTTTTATAAACTGGAATTTAAGGGTAGCTAATAGACAAGAGAGTGGAAAAAAGATCAGTCATGGAGTAACTTTTAAATAGTGAATTTAAAGCTGTCTTCTTTAACCTTTTAGCTAAAAGTTCACATTGAACTCCTGTGACTACATAAGGTTTTTGAACTCTGCTAGAGTGGTAGAATATACTTTGTTCAGTCTTGAAACTTAAAACTTAAAAACTTAAAACTCTGTTCACAGTTGAAGTTATTTTTTCATTACATAATTTGCATAGCTTTAAAATCAAACTCTGCAAAGCAGAGTTATAGTTATTTGAAACTTTAAACAAAATATATACTAGACCAGGTAAGAAAACAATCACATATTTTATTTCTTAGGATAAGTTTGGACATGTATCAAGTGAACACATGAACTTTTTTTTTGCTTTTGTTCTGTCCTTTACTCTTCTGTTCATGGGCTGCACAGAGGTATAATTCCCACCTTTTCAGACATGGAAAATGCATAGGTTTCATTTAATAAGGAATACTCAAGGACCCTAAAAGTTTTGGTAATAAAAGACCAGAACCATTTTAAACTGTCAAGATTGTGAAATGTTAGTTGATCAAGATCTTAGAGCAAATGAATATATTTGTTTTTGGTTTCTATTTCCCTTAATATTTTACTTCTTATGTTTAGGTCTTCAAGTACTTAAGTCTTTAGTATTCAACTGAATCCACAATTTGAGTGTTTGCCCTGAGCTAAGATGATAGGGCATGTATCAGCACTCCCTGATAACTGGTTTTGGACTGATCTCTTTGGCTGACTTACAGATGTAACAACAAAAAGAGGAAGAGAACCACTTTTTCCTCACCCCATTGTTCTTGTATTTATCTTGTATTTAAAAAAAAAAAAACCACTCTTTTTTTTTTTCCTAAAGCGAGTCAGTGCTGCTGTAAGGGTGATAACAAGCAACATCTAACAGGTCAGAGGTAAAGGATTCCCCTGGATCATTTACATTCTGAAAAGAAACAAATCATTGCCAAAAGGTGTGCCTCTGTCCTTACTAGCAAAGAGGAGATCCCCTATGGATTATTTCTGGTCAGCTGTCAGATGCCTGGCTTTTGATGTGGGAAATGGTATATGTCTCCAATGAAATCTGACACTTATACCTGTGGGATCTAGTATACTGACCTTCTGAAAACATTCTGCAAATGTTGACATCTCTTCCAAAAGTAGGTAAAAACCCTTGTCCCAGAATTAATAATGGATGTGAAGTAACCTGAACTCAGCTTGTCTTAGGGAAGACCAGCTTTGGCATTGTCAGCTTTAATATACTTCTGTCCAAATGACAGCTTATTTCCTCATAACACCCTTTGATCACCATTGCAGATCTTCATTCTGCTCAATAAAGGGGGACCAAAGTCCAAAACCCCCAGTTAAAATTAGTGCAGTTGGATACCAGAAGACCACTACTACCATAAAGAAACTTAAAATCTTGATATTATTGTGCATATTTGTATCTAGAAAGCTTTGACTCAGCCACTTACAGAAAAAACAAGAATTTTGATTTAACTAATCTAAATTCAAAGCCCCTACCAGAAGTCTGTGTTCAAGAAAATCCCAGAAATCATAATATGAAGAGTACACAAACAAAGCCATCTGTCTTTAGAAGTTATTTTTGCCATGTATGATGAATAAGGCCTGCCTCTACTGAAGCTGAAGTCTTCACTGGGGCCAAAATTTTATTTGATCAGTGGAGGAACCCTATTTGTGTTCATAAATTGTGTATTTGTAGCATTTTCTCAATTTATTTTCAATGTTAAAATTCTCTGTATTGGAGAAGCAAAGGGTAAAATAATTGGGCAGTTGGTAGTGTGCTCTAAAGTAAGGCAGGTATATGGATAATGTTAAGGCTTATATAAGAAAACACCTGAATTTCAGTTTTCATTCTGGGATGTCAGTTGGTTTAAAGCATCTCTGTATAGGGAATTGGTGACCAGGAAAACCTGTGAGGTAAAAAAAATATACAGGAAGTGAATATTCATTAGTACTTGGATGGTGTTCTCAGTTAATATCTCTTATTAAAAAATTAAAAATAATACAGAAATGTATGTTGATTGGAAAATAGAACTATTATTTATTGCAAGCAGGAATATTGGAAACATACAGTTAACCCCAGATTAATCATTCCCTTCTCTGAATGATTTAATGGAATATTTAATGGAATATTTAATGGAATGTGGAAGACCAGATTCAGCAGTAATAAATCAATCTAGCTTCATTAAACATACTGCACTGAGATTTTGGCTTTGCAGCTTACAAATCTGATTTACATCTTCTGTAGGTGAGAGATACCCTTTCAAATATTGCTAATAGCAGGGGATTTTTTGGGCAAAACTAAAGGAACTAATGTTTAAGCCATAATGCAGAAAAATTATTTTGAAAGACAAATATATCCCTTAGAAATATTGGTACTACATGAGTAACAGACAACAGGAAGCAGGTGCCAAGTTGTTTTCAGTGCAGCTAGCAATGTACATACAACACACATAGCTGGTAACCTGCCACAGGGAAGAAGGGCAAAAAGTGTCCTCTAAGAATATACATGAGTTCCTAGAAATGACTGCCATGTATTTAAAATGAACAACTAATTAAGGATGGCAATGTGTTGGTTGGCTGTTGCAGGACTTTGTGATTTTGTCTTTTTGTAAAGACAATTCATTTGAGACACTGTGTACACAAGCATATAATTTCAAAGAAGAAAACAACAAGGGCTGCAGCTGAAGGACCTATAAAATTGTCTATTGCAGTGCCCAGATTATTTAGTTTTCCATTTTTCTGTACAGGCAAGCAGGTTAGGATATGTTTGATGTCTTTTTCTTTGATTGGAGTCTTGCAGTTATACAATGGAGTTGATGTCTGTAAATACTTCCTCTCCCACTGATAGTATTTACTTTGACTCATGCATATCCCTTATAGCTTAATTTCCTGAAGATAAAAGCAAAAAATATATAGGTTACATTAGCAGGAAGACATTTTTTTAGTGACCACTTAAATTGGAATCGGTGATATCAGTAAAGTATACTGGCAAAATGTAACCAATATGTGCAACCCCTAATTTATTAGGGAAATAAACTATGGTTTTGTTGTTGTTTTTAAACATAATCCCACTGAAACTCAGATTAAGCAATCAGTTTTACAAAACAAAACAAAAAAAAGATGTATTAAAATTAAGAGAAGATCCATATAGCTACAGATAAAGTCAGAAAAAAAATGGCAACTGGGGGTTTAAACTGAAAGGTTTAAACATTAAGTGTGAGCAGAAGTATTCAGCTGTACAGTGAAAGGACATGAGCAGTATTTCATTAAGAAAAATTTCTGCTGTGTAACCCGTCTTTAGATAGAGAAGATAGAAATACTGACTCTAAACCGCCATCTTCACATGTCTCCAGATGCAGTACTACCACTAGGAGACATAATTTAAAATTAGGTATTTCTGACCTGGGAGAACTGTCCAGTAATGCAACTAGTATAATTACAGGACCAGGATGGGGCCAAGCTGTCTTTAAAAAAAAAAACTTCAACAAATATGGAAGTGTTGTGGTGATACAGAGAAAGCAATCAGCTGTGGCTAAGCAGTCTGAGCAGTGGAAGAGATTTTCAGGGTTTGGGTCATGTCCCCCCCCATTCCATCCATGCAATTTGATCATGCTGCATCATATGAGAAGGCATGACTGTAGTGCCTCATAGCCCCTTGCCTGAGGCCTAGTTAAAATCACAGTGGAAAGGATGTTTTAATAAAATTTTGTAGTAAAGATGGTAATATAAATGCACTTTTTAAACTTTGTTGAGTAAATATATAAAGACTTGCATTTCACAGAGTTTTAGAAAATTTAATTTGCTTATCTCCTTCTGTTGCTGAAATCTGGAGCAAATCACCTGCTGAGCTCCATAGCATGGGAGAAGGCTCCAAAACAGGAACATTGCAAATTGAAATGTGCACAAATTCCACTCTGAGTCTCTGCAGCCCCCTTACGTGTGCTCGTTCCCTTCACTGATTGTATGCAAGAAGTGTCTGAAGGTGATCCATGTATAGATTCTATACTGCAATCCATCATGTGTTGCCTCAGAAAGCCCAGCAGCAGATCTGTACCCATACAGCAGTGTAAAGAAGAAAGAGCCTGACATAAAAGTGAAAAAGCATGAAAGAAAGGAAAGCAGTAATGAGCTAAATATGTGTCTTAACTTTGCTGTGGGCATGCACTCATTTTCTCTTGGCTTCCTCTGCAGAAAAACCCACCTGGTGTCAAGGAACTGGCACAGGGAATGGTTTACAGATGGATCAGCCTCAGTGATTCTTTTAGTTTATATGATTATCTGTCACACAGATGTTTCAGCTTGTATTTGCTCACTTGCAGCCAGCCTTGCAGCTTTACCTGCCTTTCTCTTCGTGCTTGAGGAGTGGGAAAGGCTCCCCACAAATGCTTAACTAATTAAAAATAACAATAATAATAATGATAATAATAAGTGAAAGGAGTGTACCTGATTACGTGTAGTTAGCTTTAGTACCTTCTTGGTCTGTGTCATTCCCAGAGAAACAACTGGAAAAAATTTATAGGTTTGATATGAGAAATCTTTCAGGTGCTGTGTGATGAAAGGAGACTCTTCAACATTAGTTGAAGTAGTAAGGATTGCTCAGCTTAGGGCATGCCACCTGCAGCCTGCAGCATACTCATGTTGTGATTTGCCAGTTACTACAGTAACAAAGAGGGATTTTTTATTTGTTTCTTTTTAGTAAGCCATTAAACTCCCATTGCACCTCAAAAATGAAGGTTTGCTGTGACAATAGCCAGACAGGCTTCCTCTGAGGAATTTGTTTCTCCAATGATGTGAGGTATATGCATCAGAGCATCAACTGGAACTTATAAATTGATCTTTCAGCTCTCCTTGCTGACTTCATGGGATTTCCTAAATCCAGCTGTAGCTTCCTGATGACGATTTACATGACAACCTGGCATTTTTCTGTATGCATTAGCAAGCTGAATGGAACTGGATGGTCCACGGTTTGTGGCAAAAACAGACGTTGTGAAACCATTCATGTATTCAGTAATTGAGTATATAACACTATCTAAAACTCATTTTGAAAGACATAGTTGATGGCTGGGGGGGACAGATAGGAAGAGGAAATTACTTAAGAGTAAAGGTAAAAGGTGTTTTACCCTCTCAGGATATTTGACTTAGATGTTAAAAAACAGTATTTACTTGTGTAGCATGGCTACATGGGTTAGCTGTGGACACTTTAATTTCATCCATGCAGATGTAGTACTTGGTGTTTTGGCATCAGTGAAAGGAGTCAGTACTTGTTCCCCTCTTCTCTTTCCAGATGCTCTCTAAGTCCATTGAGCAGCTCAAGCAGCCTGGCAGTCACCTGGAGGAAGCTGAAGAAGAGCTTCATGGAGATCACTCGATGCAGGAAGAGCGAGCTCCCGCCGATGGTGCCAGCGTTAGGGCTGAGAGCAGCAGTGCTGGTGTGGATGACAGAATAGGACAGCAGGTGGGGGCTGTGAAAGTCAAAGAGGAGCCACTGGACAGTGATGAGGATGTTCAAACCCAGCAAATGGAATCTGGGGAGCAAGCTGCTTGTATGCAACAGGTAATAGGCAAAGATTTAGCTCCAGGATTTGTAATTAAGGTTATTATCTGAACATCACATGCGTTTTCTAGGCTCTGATAAGCAATTGTGTTTTGATTCACTGAGCTAGCAAATCCTGATTTACTGTTCAAAGAATTTAACAAATTCAGAAGTGTTGTATATACACTTGAAAACATAGTGAAGCTCATCCTTATGCCCACTAATTGAGAAAATATCTGTTGCAGTCAATTATTCTACTTAAATCTTTGAGTAATAGCTGATAGATGTTGTATTAGCCCAGAATTACCTTACATCACTTAGTCCTAGTGAAAGAGACCTCATATCACCTAGTCTGTTGAAATCAGCAATTGATGGAATTAGTTTCCAGACCTGATTGATGAAACGTTCTTCTGATTTTGAATCCTTTGACTTCTGCTTTCAGCTATCTGTATATATTGTATCATACTGTAGTCTTGAACACTGTTTATGTTAGGGTATTCTTTTTCCCAGTAGACAGGTACTGACTGCTATCTTGGTGGTCTCAGGCTGGTGTATAAAGTTTAATTTAGAGAAAAGTACAAGGTGGATATAAAGAGGCGAGGCAAGGCACTGTTTTAAAATTGCATTGTTTTCTTTTTTGCACTGCTTGGTTAATTTTTCATTCTGTCTTATTTGATGATAATGTCCGCAGAGACATCCTTAAATGCAGCAGATGCAAGTACTGGTGAGAAGCAAAACGCAGCATTAGGTTCCAGTCAGTTATTAGGACATTGTGCGAAAAGCACAGAGATGTTATCATCATCATCTGATATCCGATCACTTGTTTGTTTGGTTTTTTTTTTTAAATGAAGACTAATTGTACAATATCTCATAACCTTTACTGTGGAGTCTCATGGGCAAATCCTAAAATAACAACTGTGCATCAAATGCCACCTTGACAAAAGGCAGGTTCAGCTTGTCTGGGAGCTTCAGGCGGAGTTGCAAGGCGCAGTGGTGTGCGCAGCCCGCGAGCTGCATCCCGCTCCATCCCTCACAGCCGGCAGAGCAAGGCTGGGTGCAGTGCAAGGCCCTGTTTATTTAAGCCCATACTTTGTCAGGTCCCTGCTGTTCTCCTGCAGAAAAGTGATTTTGGGAGGGGGGGCAGGAAATGCCTTATGGAAACAGGAAGCCCAAGTGATTCATGTGCTGAGGAATGCGGGGCAGGGGGGACGGGGCAGCACTCCCTCTGTTTTTAAAGGCACTCTATGAATTGATTTATTGTCAAAGAAAATAACAAAACGAGTAGGGAAATTGTTAAGGAAGCTTTCCAGTGAAACATTTCCTTCATATTCCCTTTTGATATGTTTACCTTGTTTTATAGGTTTACTTTTGTTAAGCTAGTTAAAGATTCATTGTATTAAGATCCCCTTTAATATGGATAATCCCAAACTGACCTGGACTTCTTGTCAGGCTTTTTTCTCTATTAAAAATATTTATATTTCTAAAGCTGAGGTATTTTAAGGTGCAGTATCCGGTTTCAAAAGAGATAGTTGTTTTGCCAAATGTAGAAATTGTTCTAAAATATGTTATTAGCATGTGTTGTTTACATTATGTTCTAATACTATTCATTCTCTTCGAAAATGTTGCAACTTCTAAAGATACATTATCCTTTTTCCTAGAAGGTCTCCAAAGAAATGACTAAATAGTTGTTGTTAACATAAAAGGCCTCAATAGGTAGAAAAAGATTTATTTAAGAAAAACACAGGTGATTTTTATGTGTGCTTCATATTTGAACAGAAATCTTTCTCCATCCTGGGTGAAAAAAAATAATATTTACATTCAAAAAGTGAAGGCTATAAAAATTAAATTATATGTGTTTTCCATTTTGTATATTTTTAATTTCCTTTGAAATCTGACTTCAGCTTCATCAAAAAGGGATAGTGCATCTTTTAAAATACATTTGGGGAGAAATTTGCAATTGAGAAGAGTTTTGTACAATATCACTCCAAAGATGTGTATGAACAGAAGACAAGAGATATTTTTATAATGTCATTCAGGTGAGAAACCCCAATACATTAGTGTACTTTAATTTCAGAATCTTTCAAATTTGGATAAAATTAAAAAAAGAGAATCTACCTGGAACCAGTGAAAAGGAAAACTGGGTTTAAACAACCACATTTCTAATTGATTGTCTCTTACATTTTAAATCTACTGTATTTATTATAATTTACACCCTTAGAGGTGATCTTGTTTTGTGTTGTAAATATATTCTGTTTGTATGTTCCCTTTTTTTGCCTTCTGATATAAGTCTCTTCCTTTCTCAAATAAAGTTTTTTTTTAAAAGATCCCCTTCCAGATATTTGACTTTGTGTAAATTTGGTAACTTAGTGGTGGTTTTGCTTTGTACAATCAAATATGTTTGCTACACATTGTTCAAACAATTTAAACTTTCAGGAGCAAGTTTTTTTATTACACTATTCTTACAATAATTACACAAAGTCTTTCCTTTTGGTCTCTTGTTTTATCTCACATCAGCCATTATAAGTTTTAGTGAATGTGGAATAGTATTGATGCATGCTCATTATCCCATCATGGCATCTGTCTTGAACATATGGTCATCCCATCTAGGAAAGGTAAAAGTGAATCCCAATTCCTCAGCTTCTAATTTTGCAAAATTCCAATGAACTGTAATCATTTACATGACATTTCTAAAACTTGCCTAGACTCGTTATCTGAAAATGTGCTGGTACTGACCACTTTGGTATTCATCAAGACCTTTGCAAAATTCAAGTCCACCTGTAAATATGCTGGGAGAGAGGGAATCCATGAACTTGGCAGACTTTAAAGCAATTGCATGAGACAGTGAGGTCCCAATATAGAGAACTTCCCTGAAGATGTTAAGTAACATTGTGACATTTCCTGAACTTTGCTTAGGATCTGCAGAGAGAGTTTGTACTGCATAACAATCCCTATTGCTACAGTACATGAATTATTACTACCAAAAGAGTTCAAAAAACTATTGTACTGTAGTTCTTATGATTGCTCATTTCATTTCCAAATGCTCTATGCAGCTTTGATTCTGGTGTAACTTTAACTAAAATAAAATCTATGTTTCAACAGCACAAGTATGTAAGAATAAATAGTTCTGTAAATCCAATTATTTTCGCTGCTATAGCAGCAACATAGTTTCATCAGTAATACATCCCCCAAAAATAGATAAAAGGTCAAGTTATAGCTGAGGAAAGCTTAAAGCAAGCATTAACAGTATAACATTATACTGCTTGCCTTATTGTTTATAGTGTATTTAGAATTGTGTGTCTTTAAGTAAATCATGATTTCATAACAGGGATTTTATTTAGTGCCCTTTTGTTTAAATACCTGTATTAGAATTAGAAAGGCAGCCATAAATATTTTCAATTTACAACATTCCCGTGTTGCAGACTGCACCTAGATTTTTTTCTAAATTATTTACCATGCACCAAAGCACCCATCATGAAGAAAATAATCATAGTACAATACAATTCACATGCCTTATTTTCTTCCCAGGATGATGTGCATCTCTTTTAACAGTATATGTTTATTCTGTCCTGTTGTCCAAAAAATAAAGCCAATATAGCTGATAGCTTACAATTTAGAAGTAATTGCTAATAAATGAAAGAAAATCCATCATAGTATTTACATACTCAGACACACATTACTGGCATGTAGATAGTGTAACATTAGCCTTTTTGTCATCTTCTGGCATTAACAAAATAGAATTAAAAGCTGAATGGTTCAGCGAAGCACAAGCACTTCAGACACCACCACCACTAATTTGTGCACTATCTTCATTCCATCTTCATTATCATCAAGATCACTAAGACTTATTCCATGTTATTTAAGCCAACTGTACCCTGTTTTTATCTTCACTGGAATTCTGAGGTAAAAATCTATAAACTTTAGTCCCAAGCAGCAATCTAAAAATGTTTACTTATTTCTCCCTCTTGCGAACACTTCACAATTTGCAGCCAAAATTAGCTAAGTCCAGTTAATTTTCTTATTTAATTCTGTCCTGCTAGCAGCATGTCCTACTTATCCACTTAAGAAATGTTTGTTTGATTTTCATTTATTTGTTTAGTTTCTGATTTCCTTATGCTGTTCCCATCATCTGGGTGGTAATGGAGCTTCTGTACCTCATTTCTCGGTGGAAGAATATAGTTTAGAACACCATCTGCTGAATTACTGCTTAGGCAAACAGAAGAAGAGCATCCTGGATGAAATTCTCTTCTCTGGGCTAGAGTAATAATACAAATTATTTTTGTGGAATTTTACTGCTCTACTTGATAGGCTTTGTGCCTTGCATTTGGTTTTTTGGTTGTTTTTTGGGGGGTTTTTCTCTCTGCTAATTCAGCCTAATTTGGATTAAGATTTAAAGGTAAAAATTAGGATCAGTTGAAGCTGCATAGCCAGTGGAAAATCTGGGTTCCTCAGCCATGCTCTCACTCACACACACACACACACACTGGACTGGGAAGGTGCATCCTTTAGGCATGCCCCAGTTTCTAGTCCCCATTTGCTGAGTTAGAGTGTCACACTCCTGCTTGTTTTGATTGTGGCCCCATAGCTCATCTAGCCTGTACAGGACAGCTTCCCTGGCTACCTGTGGGCACACACATCTGCTTCAGCCACCCAAGGATTACTTAAGCAGCAGCTGAGAGTTGAAAGGAGTCCCTTCAGTAGCCTGAAATCATTCAGCAGTGTGATTTGCTGTGATAATGGGGGCCTTAGTCACTAGAGTTGTTTTGACAGACCAGATACTTACAAGTAAGTGATCCAGTGCCTTAATTAACTTAATAAGATGTTTTGAATGTGGTCGTGGAGTCTTTGTTGCATTTGTTTCACTTTAGTTTCCATAGCTGTCTTGAAGAAACTGTGTTGACTGTTTTTAGCCCTGAAATAGGAGGGAGATGGTTTGGAGCGTAGGTTGTTAAAAGTATCCCTCTGTACACTTGATCCTTCCAGGATGGTTACAGCATGTTTGGCCTTGAGAAGTGCTGTGAAGGGAAGAATAAATGGAAATGAAAGTTTTGAACAATGTCAGACTTTTAAATAAACCTTCCCTCCCCCCTCCTCCCTCCTAAACTAGATTGCCACTGCAGTCTTAGCTCAATTTATCTCTTTTTTTGTAGGCTGCCTTAGATGTTTCCTTTAACTTTGCAGCCAGTAAGAGACACTAACCTTGCACCTTCCTGCCCTTCCTCAAGTCTGTGACTGCACAGTCCCAGTATAACTCCTACACAACACAAGCTGGCTCTATGATTTCTGGGATCAAACATGGTGTAGATGGAGCAAGGAGGTGGAGTGCTGCATTGCTGGATTTATTTTGTCAAAATTTTTTGTTCATCTACATGCAGGGGAAGCCTCTGAATATTTAGTCTGCTTGTTCTCAGCCTTATTCTTAAGGGCTTGTTTATTTCTATCAAGTTTCTAACTGTGGTCTTTAAAAACTGTGTTACTGGAAGAATGATTTTTTTTTTTTTTGTATGCTAATTCTATGTGAAAGTGCATAGTAATATGAATAATTACAAGTAATTATTCTTTCCCAAGTAACTATACTTTCCTATCCCCAGTTGGATGGGAAAATTATCCTTTTTTTAAAAGAATTCCTCAAATCTATTAACTGTAATAATTGTCAATATTTATTATTTATTAATTATTTTTGTCTCCTATTGTAAACTTCCAGTTACAGAAGGCAATTACACTTATTTTATCATAAAAGTAAGTAACTGAATTGTCTACCTGACCATGTAGCATTACAATATAACAAAATTATTTAATTTTATTGATACCCTCATGGACTAATGGTGGCACTGCTCGATTTTTATCCAGTAGATTTTATGCTTCTTTTCCTCTTTCAAATACTTAGAATATAGCACCTTGGTACTTTTCTTATTGCTCCCATTTGTCAGAGAAAGCAGAATGTTGGGAGACCACTGGGGCAAGACTAGGCAAATCAGGGCTACGTAACTAGCATGAATCAAAATCCAAGTCCATATCCCAGTAATTATCACTGCACATTTTAACAGTTAGATTTCTAATTTCATAACTTTGGGCAGTTTATCATTTCCTGTATCCTACAGCACAGTTTCATTAATATTGTCGTTGAAGAGGATTATGTGTTCTTGGAAAGTTGCTTCTTTAAATGCTTCATTTTGGAATGAATTCTGTTTGACCTCTGAATGTCACTGTTAGACATTCATATGTGCACAGGCAGAAGTTCTCATTTTTCTCCTTCCTTTAAAATACGAGAGCGAGTTAATGCACTCCTAAGTATATTGCTGGCTAAATATTCATAAAGTTACGTTGTTTAATGTCCTGGAAGTGCAGCTCAGCCCGAATGCCTTGGAGACATAGGTGCTCTAATGCAGAAAGCAGTGCATAATCTGTCTCCTCTCACGTTCTGGCCTGTGACCCTTGGATCCCCAGGAGACCAAGGAGGTGTTTCTGTTCCTACTGCCTGTATTTCCTCAGCCAAGGGGCTTGTGAAAATTACAGCCATGAGATTGAAGCAATGCAGCAACATCAAGGGCTTAAGAAGGCTTTGCTCAGGTTCTCTGTAAAGCAGCTAGTACAGCATGGAGGATTCAGTCTCATACTCCTTAGTCTTTTCCTTTTGCTCCCATCAATAAGAGCAGCATGATAGGTGGCAGCCTGCAGATTTTTAAAGCAGATCTCGGTTACTGAACAGACCCAGAAGGAGCACAGGGCAGAAACACTGTCGGGAAACTCCTGCTGTGTACAGAGGGACAACTACTGAGACCAGCTTCTTCTAAGGCTCGTTCTCCTAGATCTTGGTCTACTCAAAATAGAAGCTGTAGAGTTACTACACATCAGAGACCATAATTCCATCACTCAACTACTAGACTGCGCACAGGGACAGGTGGTGACTGGTTTCCCTCATTTCTCAGCCATTTTAACACCTTGTCTTAGGGTATCAAAGGCACCCAAACCTAACAGCACATCTTTTGGCATCTTCCTTACTTTCTAGAACATCTTGGCTTTCACCATCTACCTAAATTTGTAGAGGTCTTTTGTCTTCCCATAAGTTTCTGCATATATTTCAGTTTTCTGAAGCTACTGACTTTATACAGAGAGCTTCAAATCTTCTCTTCTACCATTTCTGACAGAAACGAAAATGGGAGAGCTGAATACAGGTGCCTTCAGTCCAGGGACACCTGACATCCATGGCTCTGATCTGGCCTTCTGTGCAGGTATTTGGGTCTAAGTAAGGATGCTAATTATTCAGTTAAAATATGCACAGCATTACCCTTTGTGCTGTGTGAGTGATTTTTTTTTTATTTTTT